CAAAAAAAAAACACCAACGGGGGGGGGGGGGGGGGAATCCTACTCCCTGATACCTGCATGGAAGAGCAATTTCAAAGCATTCCTAGGTCTTGTTAAAGTAGTCAAGAGCTTACAGCTGAGTAACTTCAGCAGCTCACTATAAGGCATTGTCTGAAACTACATTTCAAACATTGGCTTTCCAATTTCATGCTTTTCATAACCTATGATATATTCTTATCTTCCCCTGATGTTATTTGGTAGCTTCTGGGAAGAATGGTATCTGTACATTACTGATCTGTAATATGTAGGGGCCTTTAAAGGACTACAACAGCAATAAAAAATTGTTTTCTTGGCCAGAGACGAGAGAGTTCAGCTCTTAAACTAGTCAAACTACAGCTACAAAGGCCAAATGCACCACCTCTACTTGCCTAAGTGGCAAGGGCAATGAGACACAAGCCTTGCTATGAACCCACAGAAGACAAGAATTACTAACAAAATAACATATCAGGAAAGCAAAGGTATTTCAGGAGCTACAGGCTTATTCTTTAAAGTGAAAATTGATTATAATTTATATCAAATATTCATATTTAAAATGCTTTACTGGTCGCTATAAATATATCTTGGAACATTACACATAAACTGTACATTACAAATTGAACATAGTTTAGACTTTGAAGATATAAAGCCTACTGCTCTCTTGACAACATTTTCAAGATTTCCTTCCCACTTAACTCATGATCATGTTTAAATGCTTCCCTCATTGCAATACAAGTTTTATGTCCTTAAGTGGTTAACAACAGCAGCTGCTAACAGTCACTCCCTGGTTTTACAAAACATGTTTCTGTGCCTTGCCCTAATACATAATTAACCTAGTTTATCTCTTAGTGTTGTTCTGCTGTCTAGTATCTATGATAATCAAAGATGAATAATCAAAGATGCAGAATGTTCCAAATTTTTCATTAAATGGCCTAACCAAAACAGCATTTAACACAAGGAATGAGCTATCCTACATGAATAAGCATTTCTTAGTACAGAGAATGCCACTATACTAAGAACATGTCAGATACAGTTTAACAAAAAAATATAAAACTTACATATCCAAATAATTAGGCTGCAATACAGCTCCAGGTGAAGGCTCAGAGTTACTGCTAAGAAGGTGGCAGAGTCCTAGTAATGACCCAGGCACAATGGGCTGCTTCATCAGTGCATTTAGTAAGATAGAACCTAATAAAAGGATACATAATTGTCTTTGGAGTAGCTTTACCATCAACTGCAACATCAACTGCAACATCAACAACAACAACAAATTAATATTTCAAAAGATTAGCCTTATTTATAGTGCTGTCAACCTCAATCTTTTCATTACAAATCTTCTTTCTCTACAAGAGAATGATTTTCAGAAAAATTGATTTAAGATATGATTTAAATATTAACCAAATTATATTTAGAGATATTTTAATTACAATCCCTTATTAGCAAAATAGCTTAAGCCAAATGATAGTACATCCCAACTATCCTGATGACTTGCTCTCCATGTTCCAGTCCAGACATTAAAATTACGTGATGCAATTCTGTTCTGAATTGTAAATAAAATAGTACCCTGAAGACTTCCTGGTGTTGACTGTGGTACATGTTGCTTTATTGTTTTTACCTTAATTAAAAAAAAAAAAAAGTACATTTTTCCTGTTTTTGTATCAGTTTACAATAAAAAGCATAATATATTAATACTGAAAGAACCAGCCTTGTAATAAGATGCCTCCTGATCCACACCCTTCCATAAAGCAAAACCCAGGCAAACTTTTTTCTAAAATAGAGTAACAACATAAGAATGTTGTTATGATACAAAATAATAATATAATCTGAAATGTTTTACTGCAAAAATCACAATATTCAAAGCAAAAAGCAGCGAGCTGAACACCACTATTTTGTGCAGTGGCATTGTACGTAGCAGGCTCCTCAGCATGACACTGCTTAGTAAAGGCATCCGAGCTGTTCCTCAGAAATGCTCACTATTTCTGCATTAACAGAATTAAGTTACCTCGTGCGTTTCGTTTAGGTACAGAGTTGTAGGAACCGTTTTTTCCCATTGCTTCACGCTTCATGGCTAAAACTTCAGGATGGGTTATCTTACCGTCTAAAACAAACAGTAATTATGAGTCTAATGTGAGAACTACATTGCTTATGTATATGTACCTATCCTTTACACACATTCAGTTAGCCATAGCTGTTATATAGTTAAGCAGACAGACTGTATACAAGACAAATGTTTTTTACTGGTCTAACTCAGATACGTCAAACAATGGTTAAGAGCTGTGATGCAAGTAGAATTGTTCCCCAAAATAAATTAGAAAAGTGAATAAAATTTCACCTTTACTGTCAGATGTTCCACAAGTTGTTCACTGCTATTGCTCGCAACTTTTCTTTTAGAAAAAAACAATACCTTAAGTTGAATTCCCACTAGTAGCAGAGATTTACATGACATTAGTTAAAAATCAACATAAAATTCTTCAAACAAACCCTCTCTCTCTCTCTCTCTCTGTTGAGCATTTCATAGTCTTCCAATCATCTATTTATGTCACAGTTACTAGCCAAACTGAAGCCAAAAGCCTTGCAGGGTTCAGAAGACAAATAACCAAGTGTGTTTTTCAAATGAACAGGCACATTGAGTGTTTTTACCATAACAAACATTCAGGAGGCTAAAAGAATAGCCATACTACTGCTTTAAGGCTACTGTATTTTTCTTTTTGATGGAGTTCATATTGCCCATTTGGTTTCAGATTGAATACCATAACTGACAGTAATATCTCAGATTTTTCATGACTCTTCCTGTAAGGATTAGTTGATGATATCCAGATTTCTTCCATTTGTTATTTCCTATTGGAAACATGGCAGTCAGCTGCTATAAAAACCCACCATTTCTTGTTTCATATTATAGCAATCTTCAAATACATGCATATATTCATTTCCTAAGCTTTATTCAAGGAATTTCAAGATACAATGTTGTGAGAATTACTGCCCTACACATAAAAGAGGAAATGAGTATACTGTTTCAGTTGCTTCTTTCAATACGGCTAAACATGTACCCTTTAAAATAAAATACCCCAAAAGGTCAGCTTTAAAGCCAAAACCACAAGAATGCCAAAAATGCATTAACTGACTAGCAGAGCGATTCAAGAAATAGGCAAATTATTTCCTTTTCTGCTTTATTCAGTGAGAGAGGCAGATTAACAATTTGGATATTTCAGTTCATCACATAATAAATGAAAGTTCTTCATTACGGCCGATAGCCGCTTCATCATTGACATCTTGGCATCTGGTATACAGGCATTACCAAGGTGTGAATTAAAACAATCTTGATGCAAATTTGAGTCATAGCTATTTAAAACCAATTGGTATAAAATGGAAAGAAATTTAAGCAAAACCGAAATCAAACAAATACTTGTTTTTCCTCTACAGTGAACTTACTGAAACTGTTCAGTCACATAGTACAAAAATCCTTATCTAAGGCAGAATGTTCATATGCAGCTAAAAATGTTGCAAATTGTATATGGGTTTACCTTCTTTGATCAAAGTAGCTGGGGCAATCAAATTTCCTGAAGAACACGATGGTCTAGTGGACATTTCAGCACTGAAGGATTCCTTTGTAGGAAAAGATCTTTTTCCAGGCTGCGGAGAACATCCTTCTGATTTCACTTGTATCGCAAGATTCTTTTTAGGGCTAAAATAAAAATCAAACACTTAGATGAATCCGTATTTCTTTTGTAATTATTTTATTAAGCAATAAACAAGGATCTTTTTACACTGATGTTTTAAAGGTACTTCACTATAAACTCTTTGCATTTCTGTCACAGATACGAGGAAGGCTCTTTTTGAGCAAATTCCATAAAGGTCAACAGACTTTTTTGGTTGTATTTTTTAAAGACAACAACTCCTACCTTGGCATTAAAACTGTCTGAGTAACATGTTTATTTCTTTCACAGTTCTGAAGTCGTGTCCTTAATTCATTCATTTCTGCATCTTTGAACTGCAACTCTGACTGTAATGACAGTAACTGAAAAAGGAATTAAAAAGACAGTTTTACTGTTACTGAATAATTTAGAGGTGTTATAACTGCAGAGCGACTAGAATTACCGTAAGATTTCAAGATTACCATCTACTTACTGTAAACTCTGCACAAGATCTCCATTTTTAGGTATGTTAGTCCAATTAATACTATCTTAGAACCAAGTGCCACAACTTCAGGCAAGAAGCATATGACTTGTTAAGACAGACCAAGTGTCACGCAGAGCATGACTACAGTGAGGCTGTTAACTGCAGAGTAGACAGGACAAAAGCAGCCACTGTCCTCTTCAGGGCTTTCAGAAAGATGACTGCAACAGGAATAGCAATCTGATCAGAGTCATAAAGCACATCCTGTCACTTTTTTCCACTTTAAAATACATTCCAATTTCAATGTTCTTGGGACTGCTTAAAAAAAGCGACGAGTAAATGAAAATCTCTCCTACTTGAATTTTACTCTTTTATTTTTGCAGAAGAAAACCCTCAGTAAGTTCTTATAAATGCTTTCTTCTAGATAAGAAAATAAAAACATTCATCATTTGGAAATTTCACACAAATGTTCTTCCTTTGACTAGATGGTCTGTGACATCATTAAGTCATACAATTAGCTGCTGCATGTGATGTGCAGGTAATTGACGTATTTACAAACCTTTTTGGAGAACTCTTTTTCTTTTTCACTTAAGGTCTGAGTTTTTTGCTGTTCCAATAGCATGTATGATCTTTTCTGTTCCTCCATAGCATACTCCATCTGCTGCATTGAGTCACGCAAAATTTTAATTTCTCCATTTTTAGTAAGAATTTCATCCTGCATTTCTTTCAGCTGCAAACAGATGAATTCCATTAAAGGATGTATATAACCAAATGTATGTATTTATATCATTATGTGGTTGAAAATTAGATATATTTATACTTTCTAGGGAGAAAAATGCTCCTGTAACCCAGTTCAGAAATTCTGCAACGTTGCTTCTCATTTTTTTCTGATTAAATCAGGCTCAGATACGTTTTTCTCTAACAGAATTATAAAATGACAGCAAAGGCACGTCTTCATATACCATCCTGGTATCTGTCAGAGACCATTCTTCTCTTTCCCCTTCTCTGTGATTATGGTCTTTTTTGAAAAGTATTCAAGTCACACACATCAATGATTTATTCACTGTTCAGATGATAAAAATGATAATTTAACTATATTTCATCTAGCATAGCAGCCAACAAGCACGCTGTCCTAAGACAAGCTAACGCCCCCAGGCAGTATCTTCATGACCTATATAGTCTCAAATACTTTCTGAACAGCCATTACCCTCGGAGACAAGACTTCGGAAAGATAATAAATGAGTTACTCAGACAAGCATGGAGGAAAAAAGCAGAAAGACACTTCTACACCACTATGTAAAATTATGGTTTACCCTCACGTTGAATGCAGTGTACAGGTAGGAGCTTCCCCAATAAAGAAGGACATAAAAGAACTGGAAAAGATTCAGAAAACAGAGGTAAGGGTGAGGAGAGAAAAGTAAATAGGGTAGGACCCTCCCACCTGGGAGAAAGCACAACTGTGAGGAAACAAAGGTCTATGGAGGTGTGAATGCCATGCACAAGTTATTCCTTGTTTAATGCTTCTTGTTAACAGCCAAGACCCATCCGCTGAAAATCACTAGGTGCAAAGTTCAAAATAAAAATCAAAGAAATTTCCCAACACAATTGTGTTGGTAAGCTGTGGACCTTTTTCACACTAAAAAGGTATCCAAAACCAAATACACAAGCGTTTAAAAAAATACACTGTAGAATATTAAATACACATATAATACTTTGGATCAGGAAGTGCCTACCTGAAATTTTACCAGAGGCTAAAAGATGACTCTGGTAAAATATCGTCATAAACTTGCTTAGGTCTTATATTCTTCCTAAGCTGTCTGCCAAAAAAGGATGGAGTTGGTATGGGCATTTGTACCTTCTTTTCCACACCTATTTCTTCCCCATAGTATCTTTCCATAAGGGATCATCAGAAGGTAAAGTAACATAGCACAAACATCACTTTACTTTCTTAAATCTTTAAGTTGCCCCAAACGGCTCTTGGTGACTAACTGACAGGACAGAGGAGAATCGATTTGATAGGAAACAAGTAAAACTGACAAACTAGCATTTGCTAATCTGAAATGGCCAAGAAATTAAATATTGCTTTCACTCTTAATATTACTAGAGCTGTTTCTAGTACGATGCTTTTCACAGATCCATAGATTTCAAAGATTACTAATCAACTTGATTAGAATGAAATACTTGGAACTGAACTTATTCCACCTTTCAGTTAGCCCTGTGAAAAAATGTGATGTTTAAGGGGGAGGGGAAGATATTGCTAACCTTCTGTTTAATTTCTTCATGCTGTGTTTGCAGTACTTCAAACTGGAACGCATCTCTCATCAGACTATCTTCTGTACTGCTTGCTGCTGCAGAAAAAAGCCAAGATCTGTTCTGAAGCACGGCTGATGCATGTATATCACTGATGACCTAACATCAAGATTTTGTTATTTACCATTACATAGGTCTGAATATCTTAATATTTATACTGTCACTACAAACAGGTAAATTGCACGCACCTGATCACCGCAGTAACTTTTCTAGAGCTCCTGCATCGATCCTTGAAGCGGAGAAGAAAACCCTCCCCCCTGAAATTTCTAACATCTTGAAAAAGTAAGTGCAAGCATTTCCTCCCAGATAATTTTAGCTAATGCACCCTGCCACAAGTAAGGGTTAACTGGAAACTTTGTGACCTGGACAGATTACAAACGTTAGCATTGCTCACGCGCGTACTGAGAGGATTTAAGCCCTTCGTACTTAAGTGTGAGCGAAGCCCCGTGTCCTGCCTGTGTGCTTTCTCAAAGTACGCCTGAAAGTCAACGGCTAATATGGGACGTGTGATGCACTTACTGGTGGAAGTTAACGGTTAGGGAAAGGAAAAAATCCGGTAGCCAGCACGCACGATACCATGAACAAGAGGTAAAGGACGCTGCAAGTGGGCGGCACTCGGGGCCCGTTTTCGGGAGCAGGCCGAAGGGGCAGTCGCCCACCTCAGGCGCCCCCCGCCAGAAAACGAGCGGTTCCCGCTCCCGTCAGCGCGGCGCTCCGGGCCTCGACCAGCCCTCCGAGCACTCGCCGTCCCACCGCCACGTTCCCGGAGCCGGGAGGGTCAGCCCCACGCAACTCCCGGCCGGGGTGACGACCGAGACCTGCGCGGGCTGC